TTTGCTGACAGCTCTACATATTTTCTTCCATATAAAAAAAATTCACTCATACATACCTTCTATGGAGAAAAATGCCTAGAGCCGGCAGCAAAAAAATTATTAAAAATCAACACGATTTCGAATCAGCTATAAAACTGCATACCCGAAGTTTTATTAAAAATCTGAGTAAAAAGTTTAAAATTTTAATGAAAATTCATTAAATTTTTCTTAATATTGTATCTATAAACATAGTTCGAAACTTTGATTTATATGGTTTTGTTTGTAGCAGGAATCATACATATATTTGTACAAAACCAACAACAAAAAAATATGGCTTGCAAAATTTTGTGAATATTTAAATTGGAATTGGAATTGGATTTTTGCGGTTCGGCTAAGGAAAACTGTCCATCAGTCCTTCGTAGTACCGACGATGTATACATAGAGTCTACTTAGAACTCGCTCAAGTTATCTGTTAAAGCCCGTTTTCCGGAAAATTCTCCCAAACATCCTACCCTCTTTTTTCTCAAACCTTTCGAGAGGGTTCTCGGCGCGGAGTGTTGTGTCTGAGGCACAACATGCATATCTAAAAGGACTATTTACTAAGACGTTCGTTAGAGGAGTTGATATATACTCTGGCGGTCGTCCTTGACACAGAACGAGCCTTTAACAATGTTCAGGTAGTAGCGCAAATTCCTTATCAACGTGTGAACATTCAGCATTCATTTATTTTCCAACCCAACTTAGGACCAATTAAGGCTCCCAGATACTACGCTCGGTTATATGTACCCTTAGATTTAGTAATTTAAAGCTAGAGACCTTATTTATGGCCGTACAGAGCATTCGCTCTGCCTTTTCTTGGTTCACTCTAAGACCATATTGCTCAGCCCATAGGCGTGGCTTCTCAAGAGCTCCTTTCGTGATATGAGGCTGGGATAGGAGGGCACCCAGAGATACAGTTGTTCATTGTGAGTGTCGAGAGGTGACACATTTCCCTAACCCCAGGTTCCTATTCAGAGAGAAATGAAGGTATTTCCATGACATTATTAAGACACGAATTTTTCTTACACAGAAAATGAAAAATTGTTCCATAAATGGGCAGTTCACTCTAATGATAAGCGATCTGGAAGTTTACATAATCCAGATTTCTTCTTGAAAACGTTCTCATTTTGTTGTCATTGGAAACATTGCCGAAAGTTTTGTTCTCATTCTATTCTTCTTAGGAATGTTCCCGACAGTTTTGTTCGCATTTTGTTCTTTACGGAAAGGTTGCCGAACCAGTTGTTCTCTTTCAAACAGCTGTCCCGTTCAGTTCTTTAATGGGAATGTAATGTCAAGAACATTTTGTTCTCATGCAGAACTAAAGCAAAACTGAAACGTGTTCTGGGTTCCTATTCATATTCGAAATTAGCCAGAAATTATGATCAAATGCCATAGGTCGGAAATTTTTTTTTATTTCTGCAAATTTCATTGCTACCTGGAATGTGTAGGCAATTATTTAGTGAGTTCAGAGTTCTTTTATAAGAATTCCTAGAAAAATTACCACGAATTTTAAAAAGGTACATATGGTAAATTTTTAGTACTTTTTACTCAAATCTTTCTATAAATTTTTAACCAACTTCCCGATGAGCTAGCGACTTGAAACTTTAAACTTAGCTCGGAAATATTTTAAAAACCTGGGTTTATGATCCGATAGGGTTCGCAGGAGTCGAAGTATTGCAAAACCTGTATTTATAGTCCAATTTGTTTCATATTTAGAGCATATTTACTATATTACTTAAATGAAAAGAAAAGACTTCACAAAAAATTTAGCCGTTAGGTGGTGCGGTGGTCGGTTTTTTTAACCGCTCAAAAAAGCTTGTCTTTAAAAAATTGCTTTTAAATTATTTGTTGTTAATATCATTCTAATTTGTTGTTTCTCAACCTACTATGCAGTGCGATCAGGAGAAGCAGGGCATTGTGACATCACCAGAGAAAATGGATGAGTATGTGCGCGAGAATGGTTTCGCCGGTTGGTATGAGACATCAGCCAAGGAAAATATCAACATAGATGAAGCAGCAAGGGCTTTGGTGAATAAGGTAAACGGCTACCAGTTTATGAAGAAAACACTTTAAAAACTATTTTTTGTTTTTATCCTTTTCGCAGATTTTACTCAACGACAAGCTGATCAGCGCCGCCGATCTGGCAGACAGCGAGAAATTTAATTTGAACAGTTCCATGGAACAGACGACATCAGAAAGCAAAAGCAAATGTTCGTGCTGACCAGTTTTTACTGAGAAAATTCATTGAAAGCGTAGTTTCGACAATAAATTTCTCCATAAAGCTGGGATTTTTGAAAATTTAAAGGAATCGAGTTTTTTTTTGTTTTTGATACGGCAAACTGGAAATTCTCGCTCGACACTATGCATTTTGCAACCGTTTCATGGATCCTGCGCCAACAAAACAGGCATGCATTTTCCAAGGTCATTGCTGTTAGCCGAGGACGCATCGAAATTTTTAAAATATGTTACTAATTAAAAACAAACAAAAAAAAAGTTTAGATATTAATATTAATTCGTTGCATAATCATCACTCAGTTAGAGATGTAATTTAAATGAACACACTACATATTTTAAAATTCAATATACATACATACATACATACATACCAACATACATAAATTTTACCTTTACATA